TACTATGGAAAGCCACTGGAAAGGAATAAAAGAGGCGATCACTTCAACATGTCATGAGGTTCTGGGTCACAAGAAGCACCATCACAAGGAATGTACCACTGTTGATACACTGGATAAGATTCAAGAAAGGAGGAACAGGAAGACAGCAATCAATATCAGCCGAAAAAGAGCAGAGAAAGCCAAGGTACAAGATGAATACACAGAAGTAAACAAGCAAGTGAAGAGAAGCATCAGAACCGACAAACGTAAATATGTGGGAGATCTAGCAATGACGGCGGAAAAGGCTGCAAGAGAAGGAAACATGAGACAACTGTATGACACGACAAAGAAACTCTCTGGAAATCGCCGCAAACCAGAACGACCAGTGAAAGGACCTTCAAATGGAGGGCTAAGCGGTGCTTTTATTTTGTCAAATCTTATTTAGTCGCGCTTGAAATCGCTTAGATCTTTAGGTACATATATGGTGCGCAATTGTTCACGAGTATTAATTGGCTTAAGTTTAGACATATGGTCCAGTAGTCGATTTTCGTAATTTTCTAAATTAAGTTTCTGACTGTTAGCATTAGCGTTAATTCAACTGGTAGCCTAGGAGTTAATCCGAAAACCAGTTCCACAACTGAACACTGTGCGTCACTTTTGACAGATGTGAAAACAGTGAAAACGTTCTACTATCTCATTAGCCTGACGATGATATGCAGTGCAGCGTATCCTATTGGAGCCTAGAAGTTTGGCTAAGTTATTGAATAGTTCGGATTCAAATTGCGCTCCCCTATCCGTCGTTATTATCATGGGCGTACCAAAAATGGTCACCCAGTTCTGCATGAAGACCTTGGCTACTGTTTTCGCTGTGATGTCCGCTATCGGGATGGCTATAGGAAGTCTGGTAAATTGATCTATGCATGTAAAAAGATAACTAAAACCGTCTGAATGGGGTAAAGAGCCTACAAAGTGGATATGCACATGGGAAAAACGTGCATCTGGTTGTGAAAAAACACCCATGGGTGAATTTGTGTGACGATTAACCTTTGATTGTTGGCATGCTGAACACTCTCTAACCCAGTTGTCTACATCTTCCTGTAAGTTACGCCATAGATATCTGGCACTGATTAGTTTAGTTGAAGCTTTCGTGCCAGGATGAGACAAAGAATGAAAGTTATTATACACCAACCTTCGCATACTTTTAGGAACGAAAGGTCGCGGCATTTCCTTTGTCATGCCACAGTAAATTAGGATACCATCGATAGGTGATAGTAACTGTTTTAGATTAGGACTTGTGTTATTTGTTTTAAGTAGGTTTTGTAATTCTAGATCCTGCTCTTGTTCGTGTCTCAACGTCTCGAAGGTTACTGTAGACTGCTGTAACACGTTCATTTCTAGTCTGAATAAAGCATCTGTCGCCTGATTGTCTTGACCTTTGACATGTCGGATATCGCTTGTGAACTGTGATATGTAGTCAAGGTGTCGGACTTCTCGAGGTGAGTATTTATTGGCTCTCGCTTTTAATGCATTCGTTAGTGGTTTGTGATCCTTAAAGACTATAAATTCCCTGCCTTCTAACATGTGTCGGAAGTGTTTAATGGTCAGGTAGATTGCAAGGAGTTCTCGCCCGAGGGTAGAATACATTGTTTCTGCTGGAGCGAGTCTTTTCGAGAAGAAAGCAATTGGTTTCCAGGCGTTTTTAACCAGTTGGTTAAGCGTACCACCTACTGCTTTATCTGAAGCATCCACCATCAAAGCAAGTGGGGAAAGAGAATTCGCATACATCAACGTAGTTGCTTGAGCCAGTTTACCTTTAAGCTGTTTAATAGCTTTGACGGTGTCAGAAGATAGTTTGAAATCTTTTGTTTTTCCTTTAAGTGAATCTGTCAAAGGTTGCATTAAATGTGTACAACCGGGCATGAATCTGCGATAAAAGTTAATTAGACCTAGAAAACTTCTCAGTTGTGTTAGAGAACTAGGTATGGGATATTGTTTGATGGTGTCCACTTCTTTGATCGGTGTAATCCCTTCTGGGCTTATTATGTGACCGAGAAATTCTAGAATTCGAACACCGAAAACACACTTACTTCGGTGTATGTTCATTTCATGTTCAACCAGACTTTTTAACACTGCTCGTACATGCTGTTCGTGTGATTGTAAATCGGGGCTGGCAATTAAGAAATCGTCTATATACCTGTAGCGGTAAATAAATCCCCAAAATAAATAGCACTAAGTTTTCGACATTGGATGCTGACCATATGTTTTAGTGGACTCATCTAGCTGAAGGCGCTCGGTCAGGCATCCGCACCAGATCACGTGTGGTAACGCCGTGCTCAACATCAACCACAATCGCTAGCCAGATTAGATCAGAGAATTCCGATATATTGGTCATCGCCAAATATACTCTTCCGATCTCCTCGACTCTGTCTTTTGATTTCTCTTGGTGGGAACGAAATATCTTAGAAGGTGTTACTGGTAGAAGCGTTGTGAAACACTGAATACCTGTGACATCAATATACCCTTGTGCTAATGGCATGTCGGCCCTGGCGATTTTGAGCTCATCTGGTGCTAGTCTTCTGGGTTTCGCAAACACAGGTGCACCTTCGGTTTTGATAGTATGACTAACTTTTAGCTTGTCTTTGGAAGGCTGTGGGTTTGGTCTAGTTAAGTTTGAAAAGTCCGCGAGTATATCTTGGAATTTCGCTGTTGTTACTGGAGGAGTTTGAATCAATTTAAGAGATGTGATGTGACTTTCTTTGTATTTTGTGTAATTTGGAGTTTCTTTCAGTGTTAAGCGTCGTTTCTTGGTGTGAACTAGAAATTCGTATCGCTCTAGAAATTCCATCCCCAGTATTGTCAGATCTAAATTGGCTATAGTGAAAACCCAAGGATATTGCCTCCTGAACCCCAAATCTAGTGTTAAAGTTTTCTGCCCAAATGCTGCGATTTTAGTTTCATTGGCAGATTGAAGTGTAGTTGTGGATGTTTCTCGACTCAGCTCAGTTTTATTATTAGGGACGATAGTAAGAGCAGCGCCAGTATCTACCGAGAAATTCAAGCCAGAGTTTCGTGCCTCTAGGTAACCCCCGTGCTATTGATAGAAGAAACCAGACAAGTAGTGAATAGGTCTTTATTTCTATCTTCGCGCAGTCACAGTGGAGCGTGGGATTATTTGTTCAGACAAACAAAGCATTCCAACATTCAATATAAGATAATAGGGAATATAACGCTTATACAAAATAAGGAAGTGAATGAATACTTGAACAATACTGTTATGACATATGCTTGGTTGTTTGAGGTGAACTCTGAACCAACCAACCTAAGCTGTTACACACCTCCCAAGCCGTTCCAATGTGGGGATTCTAGTCCTACTGTCCAATCTACTGAGGATACTGAGTGTACAGTTTCTTGTATATTTGCTTTCCAGATGTTTGGTCTGGCTTGGGCCGACACATCATCGTTGACAACGAAATGGAAATGAAAACTGGGACTGTATGGTCACTCTTACGAATGAGCGGAATACAGTGGTGGTTTGTGATGTCGTCCTCATATGAGATATAATAAGGTTGATTCGGAGTTCAGGTCAAACCTGGATGCTTCTTTCACACGTTGCACTATGTTACATGTGATAATCGCGTTAACTAGTTCCTGCCTGGAAGAATCTCCCGACGACCCGATCCTCAAGTTTTTTTATTCTGCCGTAGGTTTATTAAAGTCTCCTAAGATCAAACATCGACCTCTTGAAGACCAAGTGTTGAGACCATTTGGCAAGGTCTCATTCACTTCACAGTTTAAACTACAGTGTACCAAACTTATTAGCAGCTCTTGTTCTGTATATTTCAAGCGTCAAATAACCAGTTAGCACATTTTTACCACAGACTATATTATCGATAACGATAAGGAGGATAGTGAGTAAAGCTACCCTTTCTCCTTTAAACTTCTGGATTTTTTCGACTCTTACTACTGTCAAACTTTTATAACCATGTTCCGTACTGTCGACAAACTGAGTCACCACGTTTTTGTGACGGCAATCATATCTGACTTGATAGTCTATCTGTTTACCTAACTCCAATCGTATGTACAGCAAGCTACGGACATTTTGCAAACGTTTAAGCGGTTTTATGCTGCATCAAAAGTAGCTTCAGCATCATTCTCTGTCGAAGCCTCAACACCCGAAAGCTTACAATTCTAAGGTCCTTCTTGCCAGCATATAACCTCGGTTTTAAATTATTTTCAGCTTCTCGTCTTTTTATACAGTTCATGAGTGGCAGATGTTCTGTGATAAGGCTTCTGACGCTTTCTGTTTAAGTTTATTCTGTAGTATTACTTCAATTACATACGGAGACTTAAATCCCACTTTTAGCAGATTAACTTGATTTTGTTTCAGGTCTGTTTGTTAATCTAGCCTGTAAATACTAATCATGGTGGCCACAGAGATATCTTGAGCCATTAGCTAGTTAATTAGCTCTTTTATTACACCAAGATCATGCTCAAAATGAGTTCTGTGTTTCGAGCGTTCACTCTACTTAACTCTTTGAATACTACTGACCTGTAGCTACAATCAGCCTTCGGTTTCTTATCTACTATTTAGGAAACTGGCTTTTCTTTGACGACATTGGGTCGTCTCTTATTCTCGATCTGCACCCTTTCATCAACTTTCAGCGAAGTAGCAATCCTGATCGCGCTACACGTATAGTGAGATCCTAAATGATTCTCTACGACTTGGGTGGTCAGGTTGTTTTTTGATATTGGAAACAAATCAAGCCTTGCAAGGCCTAACCACATGTGGTTAGGCTTGACAGGCGTTTCCTGCTTGCTGCCATTTGGAGGGCGAGGGACACAAGAAACTTTATTTCTTAGTTCCAGAATGGGACAAAAATAAATGACACTTGTGAAATGAACAACAATGGCAATAACGATCAACACTAAGGATTAACTTTACGAAGATCCAACTGCTTGAACACTACATATGTACTGTATACCGCCTGTCAGGCCGTCCAAGGTCGTTGGAACAAAACGGCAGGCGGCTTTGGAAGGGTTTGAAGTACAGTGTCTATAAATGTCACTATTTTATTCCAAAACTGGTGCTTGTTTACATAGATCTCCAATTGCTTTAGGTACTTATGTCTAGCGCGTGATCATGCTTCATCCTTAATCTCCTTTTACATTTGTAATAAAGTTAGTTCATTTCGATATGAACACTGAACTAGTCGGTAAGACTAGAATTTATGGACGAACCCACCACGTAAAAGATAACAGGTCTCAGATTCCGGCGCAAAATTCATTCATCCGTTTGGCACAATACCGTTTTAGCATCACAGCTGATGTCAATTCGTGATGAAAACCCTAAATCTAATTCATAACCTTAACCATCAACTGTAAGTCATGATTCTAATTCCTCACACAGGTTCATGATCTTCATTTGGTCCTAATTATTAGGTGGAGCTCCTCAGGCTCACTTTGGCGTCGCACAAAGTTCGTCCATAAATTATAGTCTCACTAGCTAGTCAACGAAAACAGTATATTAAAAATCAGATGCGAAACTCCGGGGTCTTGTAATATCTGACCCACCTTCTTTACTCTTGGCACCCCGCCTGGTCTTTTTGCTTACTGGGCAGTAGTGAGTGCGAAGTTACCTCTTGGCACTAAAATCGTGCCTCATCCTATTTACTAATTGCTATAATGATGGGCTATTTGGAGTAGTTCTATTAATAACATTAGATGATTTGCATAAAGTCATTAAGATAGTGGTTGGAGGTAGTCAAAAGGAAACCCTGGACCTAGGTTTTCATGCTACTTGGCACTCTTCAAATGGTTGTGGACGGAATAGAAGCTTTCGCTTAACAGGCTTCCGTGTCTAATAGCAGTAGGTCACTAATACCTCCAGGCAGGAACCTATGTATATTAACGATAATAAGGGAAAAAAAAAGAAACTGGTAAATCATAATAAGATGTCATCATTAGTCCTTAAGAATAGGTCAAGTTTCCTCTTAAGGGACTCCTGAGAAGTCTCTTAGACAAGTTCAATCGGTAGCGAATTCCAGTATTTGACAACTCTTAAGGGGTAGAAGTTGTGTCTACAGTCCGTTCTGCTATGTTGTATCTCCAATTTCTGGGTGTTATCCCTTAGGTTTGTATTGGGACTAAGTTTAAGTATGTGTTTAAGGGGATGTCCAGAAGTGTTAAGGATACTGTAAGTCATCAGAGGGTCACCTCTAAGACGCCTATACTCTAGTGGGTAAATGTTAAGTGATTGGAGGCGCTCCATAAGGTTTGAATCTGAGTCCCCAAACTGATTTCGTGGCTCGCCGTTGGATAGGCTCTAGAGTGTCCTTATCCTTTTGGAGTGAGGGAGAAATACAATGTTTCCGTACTCTAAATGGGGACGAATAAAACTGTTGAAGATTATGTGGAAAGTTCTACCGTCAAACTGGCCAAAAATGCGCTTCAATGATACCAGTGCAAGGTTTGTTCGAAAGGCATTTCTGTCACAGTTAGCGTAGGACTTCAAATCGTAGGGTACGAACACTCCTAAATCTTTCTCGACTCGGGATACTACTAGAGAGGAGTTTCTTAAGTTGTAACTGTAATCTGCAACATGTCGCAGATGGACTACTTTACACTTTGAAGTGTTGGAGGTAAGTCCGTTGCCATGTGCCCAACTTTGAATTCGAGTCAAATCCTCCTGAAGTGCCTGTATATCCTCTTGGTTGCGTATCTGTCCCCAAAGTTTCACGTCACCAGCAAAAAGTAATAAGTCTGACGACACCTGTTGTGGAAGATCATCTATATAAATCAAGAAGAGAAGAGGTCCCAGTACTGAGCCCTGGGGGACCCTACTAGGACATTCCATAGCCTGAGGTAAAGTGAAGTTAACCCTGATCTTAAAATGTCGATTTTCCAGATATGAAATGAGCCAATCAATTAGCGATTATATGGTGCCTAATCGTTTGAGCTTATTGATAAGACACATATGGTTGATCCTATGAAAAACTTTTGAGAAGTCAAGGTAAATGACATCAGCCTTCCCCTTGCGGTTAAGGATTGTCGTCCATCTGTCCACTACAGTCAGGAGGTTCGTTATACAGGAGTAACCCTTCCTGAAACCATGCTGTTGGGGTGAGAAAAAATTTAAGGACAGTAAATAGTCATGTATACCATCGCATATCAGGGACTCCATAATTTTTGTAGGTACAGATAGAAGAGCCTTCGGAAAGTCATGTGCAATTGCAAATGAAGCTGTCATCAGTATAGTTGATGTGGGTCGGTTGAAATGTCTGAGAGTGTTGTTCAACCAAAGGGTTAGGGGCGTCGCCTCTGTTATTGGTCGGGCCATTAGGACCTAGCAGTTGGGAAACTCCAGTTTTGGCTTGACGAAGAGAGGCTGCATAATGGAATAAGCTTTTCGAATTGGAGACAAAATTATCCATAAGCTTTATCTAGTACTGAAGCCTATCTTCTCTCACAGCCTTCGTGCATATGTTCCTTATATGTTTGTATTGCCTGTACGCGTCAGTAGGGTGTACCTGCAGGTACCTCAATATTACATATAATATTGAGGTAACTGATACTCCCTGACGTAGAGGTAGTAAAATTATAGGCTGTAATCAGAAAAAATTAGGGTTTGAAGATGCTATTCAAGGAGTATAATCCAGTGAAATAAATTTGGAAAGAGAAAAAAGAAAGGGACATGAAGAATTCAGAAGATTAGAATTTGGGAGAACACAAAGAGTGGATGCACCTGCGCCATTGCCAACGATTTTGAGCCATGTCATTCAAGGTCTCTAATCATCGGTTGCTATCGTCTCGCGGATTCCAACCAGGTAGTCTACACTTACCAACATGGTTCAGTCCACTTGTCAGTGACTTCATGGATTTGTTCCATGTCTTGATCTGGCCGCCCCTAGTTTTCCTCCAACCTACTCCTACACCATGAAACATCGCACGTCGGGGCAGTTGGTGGTTGGGTATACGTAACACGTGTTCTAGCCGTCTCAACTGATGAAGTTTCACTACATTTTAATTGTTTTGAATTCATTTAAATACTCCATTTTCTCATTAATTGACAGAATTTTGTATAATAGTTAATCTCTTCACTTGTGTTATGTTATGCTCCCTTCTCTGTATACACTGTCTACAATTTAAAGGACTGTAAATCAAATCATGAGAGGAAAGTCAAGGAAGCGCGGTTCAAAGGTCGTTATTGAGAAACAGAAACCAAAAGTTTCCAAGACAGTTCCTGAAGAAGAAAGTCCAATATCTGATTATCCAATTTCCGATGAAATCCAAAGGCGTATTTCAATGATTGGTCAAGGATTTCATCTCAAGTGCTCTCCAGACTTTCCATTGTTTTACGAGTTTTGTGAAACTCTTCGTGCCGACGCCCCACTTGGTTTGAATGCAAATTAATCTTATTGAACTTTGTTTTAGAAGCACTATTAGATGTCGGATTTCGTCTGGTTGGTCCATTTGAAATACTTCATTTAGGATTCAAAGAGCCAGTGAAAAATGGCCAATGGTCAAATTATTACCGTTTTTATCACGATCCTCCGGAGTTTGTGACAGTGATTATATGCACTACTGAACAATACCATATAGGCTACTTCCGGTAATCGACAACTTTCCAATGATGTTTTCAGGGATTCATGCGAATCTAAACCATTTCTAGTCAAATCAACGCCTATGTCCAATGGAGTCCTAGAGTATTGTGGTCAGAATTTGTTTGCTTGTCTAAGGTTCGGGACTTAGATTATCATCAATCTTTCTAGGTCTATCCTGCAAGAAAAATGTGCTGAATCTACTGACTTGTTAAAAAGTCTTATTGAATTTGCATCTTTTAAAAATATTCCAACAGGTTTATCATCGTTTTGTAAGCTATCTACAATTTATGTGATATGGCTAAAGATATGAAGGATCGAAAGAAACGTCAAGTGTGTGCCACAACAAACCATATAGGTTTAATGGTCGATGTGACTAAGAATGACATTGGATACCGTCCTTTAAATATTTCTTACGGTAAGCTAAAACCACTTTCCCCTATGTAACTTGGTATTACTTGGATTCTAAAACTTAGCGATTTTTACAGTTTCATTGTGTTTGAGAAGTTGCGTTTCTGACGGTTGTGGTATAGTGATAGTGTGAATCATATCATTTCAAAGCGGGTCAGTTCAATTGAACACCGTCCACGAACAGAGTTTATTGTTATCTTGTTCAGTAGAAAACAGTGTTTAATTATATTAGGCAAAAAATATTTCAAGTATTTATGTGATGTCTTCAGTGTCTTTCTTCATTTTAACTGAATATAGCCACAAAATACAGCTACTTATAATAGGTCTCGAAATCAGTTTATATATCTTTGCTACCGTCTTCAATAGTAATTGTATATGCTTTCTCATTTATTCGTCTGTATTTTATTTATCATGTTGAATATATAGTAAAACGTGATTTTCATGGTCTTATTTAGTTGTATACCGTCACATAAGTACTTAAATTTTGGGATTTGAACACTATTTTGTTTTCTTATCATTCCTGCTTTGTAGTTAATGTAGAAGGGATTAACATACGGTTGTTTTGTGTCGTTTAGACTTTAGATATAATTTTGTAACTATTGGATTAATGGTATTATGTACTATCCCGATGCTATTTTCTTTTGACAGCTGAACTAAACAAAAGACTGGAAGATATTGTCAGTGAGAAGTCAAAAGAACGGCAGTTAATTAAATTTGCTCCAATCGATGAGTTGATTACCTGTGTTCAGTTTGCCAACGATGAAGGAGATTTTGGTCAAGGTTTAGAATTGGGCTTATCAATATTAGCATTTCATCCTAAAGGTAATAAGAAGTATTATGAAAAAACTGTTAAGTCGATTGTTTAAGCGATTGTGTGGAATAAAGCAACGCTGTCAATATAACTGTAGTCGATTCACAAGTCAAGGGGGGGGGGTAAAATTAAATTATTTATTATTATAATACAGTCAACTCATGTTAATGCTATTTAAATGAAAGTTAATGGAAACTAGAGTGTTCGAGTTAAAATGAACAAATTTGTTCTGAAAATGTTTAAAGTTCCTTTGGATTTGAGTATGAAGTTAGTTTGAATTTCCGTGAATCTTGCTAACGATAGTTCATCAAATGTTGGTTTCTCCTTCAAACAAGATTTGGTTGGGACATGAGTCCAGTGAGTTGTGGTAACACTATTAAAATAACTGCAAGTTTTTTCTAAATGTTATTAAATGAGATACAGTTCATCATATATACAAAGTCTACGTAAAGTGAATACTAGTATGACGTCAAAATCCTAGACTTAAAAGAATACATATCAGTACATGGAGTGAAAAAAACTGATTGTGTTAGTCATATAGTCATCTGGAATGTTGATCACCATCTCCACATTTATAAACTCTTATCTTCAGGAGGTTCCATCAGATTTTCACCAAACAATAATGTTATATTCTTACTAATTGTAGTACGTTTTTCACACTAACAATTTTATTTTATTTTAGCTCAACCGCTAGAGACAGCAAACATATTTAACAATAAAATAAAACATTTATTGTCTGTCGGTTATACTTTAGCCAATAGAAAGGAATTCAGTCAAGTAATTCAGTCTCATATGGATGACAGACGTATTGAACCACTAACTTTCACATAAATTACCTTTGCTGTATTTATCTATTTGGATCGCACATAGGTGTCATCTTACGCATGCATTTATTTTTATATTAATTGTGAAAATTTCAGAGTCTGTTGGTTTTATTATTGTAAACATTTTAAATTAAGACTTTTAACAAATTGTTTTTTACTTACTGCTGTTTGTTATTCCATGGGATTAGGTGTTTTTAAATGATGACTTGAAGTCATTTACTGAATATTGTGTAATATATGTGGGATCCAGTTGGCTTCTTTTGTTTTCTTAATCGTCACCAACTTTTGATAAATTTGAACAACTTAACGCTTAAATAAGTTTATGAACCGCTTGTAATTGATAAGTAATATCTTTAATTTGTGAGGAGTAACTTTCAGTGAATTTAGAGGTATTCTTGCTGGCGAATTAGCTTCCCCTAAGTACAAGACGGAACTTTTAAACTTTTTTCTTGTACATGACTAATTCAAAGATCGGACTTCTAACATTATATACTATTGTGTTATAAAGTCAGTGCAATGCGGTAACCGAGTACATGCCCCTCTTCCTGTTACTGTGCTGTACTTATTATGCAAGAGTTAATAATCGTACTGAAATAGAACTTGGATTCACAAACAATGTTTGAAAGTAGGTATCAGTGCCAAGGTTGGACTTGATAGTTTCAAATAAATTGAGCGTTGACTAGAATGTTAATAATAAATTAATTTTTTGTGATATTCCAATTAGTAGAAAATTGTGTTTCTGACGTTTCGCGGTTCAATGCAAGCCACTTCTGAGTACAATCATATTGTTTAAACTTGTTAGTTTTATTTCGGTTGTGTATTTACTCTGAGGCTTACATTAAGTCACGAAAAGTCAGAAATGCAATTTTCTGCTCATTGGTATATTACAAAAAATCTATACTTATTATTAACGTTTGAAAGTGTAGTCCATACAAAATCGGACTACATCTCTAATCGTTATTTGCTATGAACATAGGTATTCATCTCAGTAAAGTAGTAGGGGTTTTTTCTAGTATTGTTGATGTGCCGTGGATGTAAGCAGAAAGGCACTTGCGAGACTAAAAAGAACATCAGTAACCTGTTAACAGTTTTTCTTAGTGCTCACTTTGATGTTCCACTGTATCCTCTAATATGATTACCTGTATGGTATTGACTTTTTTAATTGGTCAAGTAGTTCACAAACTTTACTGTAATCTCTTATTTGTCTGTTCAAAGCACATTATGTTATTACCATTTTGTTCTCATAAAAAAGATGCCATAGTGGATTCCATTTTTTTCTCCTACTTGTTCATTTGGGTGTCACCATTTATAATTACTGTATAGTTATAGTGTTCTCAACCTAACAACCCTTTCATAATATTACAAAATAGAGAAGTCGGTATAAATTGGAGTTAAAGTAATTGGTTTAATGGTTGTATTTAAAAAGTGGGTCATATTAGTACCACTAGAAAGAATCGTCTTCTCCAAGAATCAATTCATGTTAAAGTAATTCAAACGAAATAACCCATGTCTACCAAGATCATTCAAATGCGCAACATGTTTTTACCGAAAATAAGTTACACAGAAAAAATGGGAAGGTACAACTCGAGGCACATCGAATTCAGCAAGTTGGGAAGTGTACCCCAGAAAAATAAGAACCGGCCAGTTATCTTAAACTAATTATTTATAGCAAACGCTTTCAACTAGATGATTTCCTGAACACCATTGAAAGCAAGCTTTTAAACTGAGAAGTGCACTGTATATACTTAGGAGGTTTTTTATAAACTAAATGTCTTATGATGCAAAACAACAGTAAACGAAGTGTTTGTTTGTTTAAGTTTAAAGGATCTACACTTAGATGTTAAAATCATTTTAAACATCAAACTTTGTAGGGGTCAAGCTTTTGAGGGGCAACGAAATCATTCTATGTGGAATAATTAACTTCTTAAGGTGTATATAAGCTGGGCTATTTAGCATGTAAAGAAGTGTCTCAGCGGTACGATAGGCATCAAAGTAGGATTGAAGTAATAGATGATTCTATTTTGTTGATCATTTGGACTTACGTCATTTTGTATTCTACGGCGTATTTATAAAATCTGGGTTGTTTACTTTTGAAGACTTCCTATTCAGAACTTTCTTTAAAGAGCAAAATAATGTTCATGAGATTTCCGTAATATTTATTATTTAGTGGCTTCAATTTGACTGAGTAGCGCGTTTATCAGTTTAATGGATTTCTACATCATTTTCAAAAAACAAGAAAACTATCCAGATAGATTTAAAAGCAACCAGGAAAATAACAAGCTTGTAATTAACAGAACTAAGAAAGCCGTCATAGGAGTCGGGATCCTCTCACATACTATTAATAATAAACCACTTGGAACAGTGAGAGTACAGTCAATAAATTTGATAGTAAAACCAGAGGCCATTAAGAAAACCCAGGCTGCTTAAATAAGCACACATATCCTTACGTATTTAGTGCATTCAAATCGATGTACTATCCGGACACCGATTTACTCCATAGGGTAAAGTATCTATGCACCAAGTAGATATTTAGCAAATACTCGTTTTAGAACAAAAGTTCGGGCCAACTATCAGTCACGTAATTTTTTGTGCTCAGTTTGGATGAAATAAAGATTTATTTACTGTTCACATATCTTTTCTTGAAAATCACGAATTCCAAGTCGTAAGGAAGATTCTTGTAGGTAATAAGTGTACGTGAGATAAGAATAATTATATGGGAACTCCCTGTTTAGTATATTCTGGTTCCACAGTCATTGTCCGGTTTACATCCATTTCAGATTAGTGTAAACATTCTACTGTATTCCTCTGTTTTATTATGTATATGCATTTATTGTCACTACATACATTTAGAGTGGATATTATACCGTGTTTATTTTTCAGTTCGTATTAATTTGTATATCATCTCCCAAGAACTGAGAAGCATTAATGTAATCAGTTTGTTCATACTAGAATAAAGCGTTTACTTTAATCACTAAATTGAACTAAAGGAATCTGTTCGTCCAACATATATGAGTATCGTTCTTAATAACTGAATCTATCCAATCTTTGTTAATCGGTTATAGCGGTTTAACTGAATCTGTTTAAGGCAGTTCAATTAAGTTAGGTTTTTCCTGATCTTCATGCAGTAAACTACAAAAAGGTACTTCATTTAGTGATCAAAAGTAAAAAAATTCAATGTACTTAACAAAGTTGTGAAACAAATGTATGTGGATGATAATTGGTGTTTGAAATATTAATATTGGACTTTTTCAAAGGGATCTGAGTGAAATGCAGGAGAATGGTCAGTGGATATATAGGGAGCTTATACTGTTAACACTTTCTATGTTCCCAATTTTGCATATGGAGATATCGTACTTTTTAAGGTAGATAAGTGATATTTCCTTAGATTTGAACTATTTCTACAGGACATATCAGTTATAAAAGTTTGGTACATAATTCTAGAATTATTCATGTTAAATTAGAATTCAGTGTGCATGGACGCCGTAGTTGGTATTAAGATGAATTAATTTCATGTAATTATTTTACCTACTTGTAAGTAGCTCAAAAACTACATTTATTCTTTATAGCATAAATGCAGAAAAAGATAATTAGCCATTATGAATGTGTGCATACGTGGACTTAAAGCAATTGATTGGTCTAAGATAGCTACTCAAATGGTTTTTGTTATCTTGATTTTATTTTCATGTAGGCGTGGAGGGAATTAAACCACCGGATTTTTGTGTGACTTATAGGAATATGTAACATAATTGATATGGAGTAAGCAATTTTTGTTACCAAGTATTGATGAGTGAATAATGAAAGAAGAACATTTATAGGAGTATTGAGAAATATAGCTCATTAGTGTGATCGGTAAAGCCCCATGTAATGAGATGATAAGTTCCTAGTAGTTAAATAACGTTGACCAAAAATAATTTGATGATATTAGTATCCTGGTTTTCTGAAAAAAATATTTTGTGAACGTGATATTAATTTGTAGCGGGGCGTCGAGTCGCGGTTGACTATGATCACCACTACAGGAAGACTAAGTGTCAGTTTACCGATAAGATCCCCCGTACCAAATATCAGAAGGCAGTTAATGACTGTAGTCGAGATGTATTTGCTGAAGATCTCGTGGTATCGAAGGGATACCGAGATCGTGCCATGTTACAAGTGTGGTTACTGAGCGTAACCGAATTCGTGCAAGGTCACAATCAACGGAAGAAAGAATGTCTTTAATACAGATAAACAAGCAAGTACAGTAAACCAATCACTGGTACAATTGGTTATAATAGTAATTGTTTTTATTAAACCAATCGCGTTCTCTTGATAAAAGTAGGTCACTACAAATTACTACGTAGCCCTCTATTATATTGTAAGTATTGAAATATAATAGCAGACGACAAAGCATACTGAATAAAAGATAGAAATATTGTTTTAGTTTCCATGGGACAGTTAAATGTTCATGGGAAACAGGTGTAAATAACAATGCACTATGAAAGTAATATGTAATCTGTTTTAGTAGAATATTTCATGAAGGTTTAAGAATTTCTGTTTAGAAATAAGCATTATTACATATCTAGATAAAATACAGCAGTTTTCACTCATCTATAAAGTTTAGGGTTTAAACTACATAAAATAAATATTATGGGCGATCTGCATTTTATTTTTCTTAGTTTACATGCTTAGTCATTTTTTGTAAGTAATCAAATTCAATTTAAAAGTGTTTGTAGTCCCATGCGTATATTTTGAGAAATGTCTTAGGTTATAGTTATTTTTAACTATATTGTCTTTTTAGAAAGAACATTGAAATAGAAAGAAGCGCACATAATCTTATTCGAGAGCAATCTAATCAAAGATTCCTATTATTGGATTTTATGTAGAATCTCAGGAACTATGTTTTTCATTTGATCATGTCATTCACTGCCGATGAAACTAGTTATCTTGGAGGTTCTAATCTACATTATTAAATGACCCAGTAGAAAATGTCAAGACTAATCAATTAATGTGATTCTTATGAAGTTTATTTATCATTTTTAACCTGATTTGTTTAGTTTTTTCTTTCAACTACTACTGCAAACATTAAAAACACTCTAAAGATAAAGGGGTTTAACGGCATAATACTAATTTCCTATAATAGTTCTGACTTAGTGTTCAAAGGAATTAGCATCTAGAAATTCTACTGGTACTGATAATGATCCGTTGTTACATTATACCTCCAATCTTTATAAACACTCAGTTGATAATGCCGTAAGTACAAAATAAAACGGGCCCAGAT